TTCTTCCTGTATGCAGGATAATTAATGGAGAGCTGTCTTTTTCTCATTGCTCTGTAGGGTCCCGTCTCTGCCACTGGAACTGGTTGTTCCTGTGCAGGCCTGTCTTCAGGCTTTCTTATTCCTGCCCTCTGGTTTAATTTCTGACCCTGCGCAGTAGCAGACTGTGTTGATTACTGTGCACTATAAAATAGTTTGCTGTCTGAAAGAGCTGTATTCCCAGCTTGTTCTTTGCAAGCAGTCTTAGCGAAATTTTTATTTATACATGAAATGATTATTTATAATTCTAAAATACACAGAATAAAAAAGATGCATGGATGAATGCTCATAGATTAATCACATAGAAAAATATTAGAAACAATCCAAGTGCTTATTGACAAATTAACAGAAAAACAGTAAAACAACAATTGAAAAGAAAATGCTATGTCATATAAAAGGGTAAGTCCCAAAACCATGGGTAAATTTCAAGACCATGTTGAGCAAAAAATGCCAGACGTTTTAGAACATATAATGCATGCTTTTATTTGTATGAAGTTCTAGACTAGGTGCAACAGATCAAAAATGATGTAAGATATACCAAGAGTATATCTTAGGCACAGGGAATGTCTCCAGTAATCCAACAACTGGAAGGTGGGCCTGAGGCTACCCTGTTGTTTTAAACTGAAGTAGGACTGAAATCGTGGTATAGGAATGAAAAAAATCAGTGTAAGCCTGGGTATTGCTCTTGCCTTCCATTGTGTGTGGTTAGGTACACTGGTGCCTTCAAATGAGAAAAACAGTAGTGCCAATAAGAACCAAAGTGTCTACTCCACTTAATGCCTACCATTATGTTGTGCCTCTGCATGCATTTTCTCCTATGCCATTTTCTCCTAGTCTAAGATCCACATGGTTAGTGAATTATTATCCTTCTTTTATAGATGGGGAAAACCCAAGTACAAAGAAGCTAAGTCATTTATTCTCAGCCTCTCACTATTGATTGTCAAGACTGGGTCATGTCCTTGATTTCTGGGCTCCCAGCCGTGGGCTGACTCAATGACACGAGCATGTCTGTTCTATGGCATCGCATGAAAAAGATGAGTTGGTAAGTTTGACAAAACACGCGCTCTTCTTTCCTCAGCAACGTAACTGGTGAGTTTTGGAGAAAAATCCATCAGGTAGGTTTAATACGTGGCTATTTAAACTTTACAAAGAGAATTCCCTCCCTCCAAACATGAAGAAACAACAAAGTGAACACTGGCTTCACAGAGCCCAGGGAACCGACAGGGTATGCACCGGCCAGATTATTGGATTCATACAGCTGTAAGCCCATTGCTTAACCGGGCTTGTGCAAATGGGATCAGTTCCTTGATCTGCCTGGAAGGGAATTTTTCAGCTGTCACTCGGAGCCAAGTACGTCTTTTCCACTGGTCTGCCCTGAAAGATATTCATAATTTGTTTGTGATTTATTGAAACTTGCCTGGCTCGAGAGGAACGGTGTCTTGTAAGCTTCGGTCCTCTCAACTCTCTCCAGCTTGCTCCGCTCTCTTTGTGAAGCTGCCTTCCTGCGAGGTGACCGTGTGGGCCCGTGCTCTCCTCTGAAGTTTTTAAGAGCAGCACGTGATGCCATGCGCAATTTATTCCATCATTTTCTTTATTAAGACACTTAGAGCTTACAACAGGTGGTGCGGGTGTACAGAGAAAGGCAGGAATCGCTGGGTATGTGTGCTCCGGCTGGATAGATTTGCTGGCAACAGTGGCCAAAGCCAGGGTTCTAGAAATTTAGTCTCAAGAGTTAATGATGTTGAAAGGTATTTTAAACCCAAACTGAAGTCTTTTTTAAAAGAATGTAATTATACCCGCATGAAAAAAATAGGATTATCCAAGCAACTCTCATATGTCAATAATCTTTCTAAATAATATGTGAGCAGTTCTCATTTGAAATATGTGCAGATTTCTTACTTCTATGTGTTACACACACTATCAATCAGCTGCTTGAGGCTTGGGGGAATAGATCATACCTTCTTAAATTATAAAGTAACTCATTGTTCACCCAACCCATTTCTTCTGTTTTGTTGCTTTTGCTCCCAGTCATTTTCCTTTTCATTTTATCTTTCCGCCATACCTGTGGGTCAGAGGTCTTATTTGTTCCTCGTACCCGATGACCTGAAGATTGGTGTCGGCAATTCCAGCAGTTATATGAGTTCTGGGTGAGCGTCTTGGCTCTGTCAATAGGAACAAGGAGGAGAGTGACTGTTATTGTCTCATTCCATGAGGCATCAAAAAAAACCAGAACACATTTATTTTGCATAAATCCTTGGGATGTAGGGATTCTTGAGCTTTTCTTAGGCAATACACCAACGTGTACATAACACATAAATCCTTGGGGTGTAGGAATTCAGTATCGCATGACTTCTTAGCCTTTTAGGCCTTAGGGTGGGTCCAGGGCAACTTCTGTCTGTACAGATAAAGACTGTTTCCTTGTGATTTTGATTATTGCTATTTTGTCATCAGAACATATAACTACAAACCTAGCAAGCTAAAACAAAACAAAACAGTAATTACAGTTCTGGTGGTCAGAGTTCCTCAGTTCCAGGTGTTGCCCTGGGCTGCTTTCCTTTGAATGTTGTAGAGGAGAACCCACTTTACTCCTTGCTTCTAGAATAGAGGCGTTAAAGACAGTATTTGCACCCAGAACCCCTGTTCCTGTTGACATATCTCTTCTTCCTCTGAAATTCTGCTTCTGTTTTATAAGGACCTTTATGGTTACATAGAAAATCTTTCCATCTTAAGATCCTTAACTTCATCTACAAATATTTGGCCACTTACAGACTTTGGAACTTGGGCCATGCACCTACCCCCCCCACCCCTGTGTGTGTGTGTGTTTTGTACACATGTGCACAGTATTCTTCTTTGCATCATAGTCCTGATCATCAACCAGCTGTTTGGTACTGATACGAGTCATAGGCAAATTGGCATCAGGAGAACCATAGAATTTTTAGAGCTCTTTTAACCTTTTCTTGTATCTTTCTCCATGCAGAAGTCAAAGCAACAATGCTCTGTCAACTCTATAGAACAACAACATGGCTCAGAGCACACAGCCTTGTTGATCCATGCATTCTTTGAGCTTGATACAGAGAACCTTCTGGGTCTTGAAATCTTAGTGCTAATGGCTGGCTGGCACGTTTCTGAGATATCACGCCCACCAGAGACGTAAAGCAAACCTAATCCTCTGGATAAAGGCCTCAAATCCACAGATTTCCAACTCCATCTCTCCAGTGAGTTCCGATCATTCTAAGAGCTTAGGAGAGATGCTGAAGGACCCTCTCACGGCCAACTTCCATAGAACACGACATCATCCGTAAGAACTGTGTGCTCTTCTGTCGGCATCAGAATGAAAAAATGGAAAATTGGCATCGGAATGGAAAACTGTGCCTGTCTGAACTGAAAGACCTTTATTCTCTTTGCATATTTCTAGAAACTGGTCTGTAGAGGGACAGCATGAGCAATGCATTTGGTAAGATGGCAGGGACAAGGCAGGGACGTCTGAGACATTAAGGTTTACAGTCTAAGGATGACGGGGGCATTGAAGGAATTTAGGGTAGCATGGAGAGGAGGGTGAGAAGTCAGGATGGCTCCTACTGAGCAGGAAAATGGGGAATGAGCAGCGCTTGGAAGAATAACATAGGTTAAGTTGTAATTGTTAGTGATCTATGAATGTCAAATGGTTGGCTGTGTGATTCGAGACTCAGGAGGTTTGGGTTCGGTATATACATTTATTGCTCAGTAGCTAAAATATGATAAATAGGAATTCTACTGGGGAGAGTATACTTAGGAGGAAAGATAGCATAATTACGGGACTCAAGGGGTGAGCAAACATTGAGAGGCCTGGCCAAAAAAAGGTTTGCTAAACACCAGCAGCAGCAGCAGCACCACCACCCACCCACCAAACAAACTAAGCAGTGGAGGTTAAGTGGGACATGGAAGGAATTGGTGAGAAGATGAGAAGGTAATGAGGAAGGTCTTTCGGAGGTTAGAGTTAAGGGTTATTTTGTCCTCCCAAGTCAATTGGATGCAAACATGCTACTTGTTATCAATTGGGGGAGGGGGATAATCCCATTAAAGACTTTGTAATTTGATCCAGAGGGAAGAGCAAGCTGAGAGTCAAGGAAGAGGAAAAATTGACTTCATCCTTTGCTCTTTCTTAAATCCTGAGAAACGTGTGTGCCTCAAGCACTCCTCCTTTCAATCCCACAAACCAGGGAATCAGGAAAACACATTAGCACCCTAGTATAGAGTAGGAACCCAGAGCTGGAGGGGAAACAGCACCAAGACAAGAGGAAACGGGGGAGGGGCGAGAAAGCTTCCCCTGTCGCTTGGAGAATCTGCTGCAAGGCGTGGGAAGGGAGGGAAGTGGGGAAGGTACCCTGCAGACGTCAGCCAGACACTTTGCCTCTGGGCATGTGGGAAAGAACTGAAGGAGGAGGGAAAGCGTCGCTTTAGGGTCAGATGGAGGAGCTCCTGCGGCTGCTTTTGAGTGAGGATCTGGAGAGCTGGAGCGTTCTGCTCCCGTTCTCCCCTCCAGGAGGCCATTTCTACATTTTTTAACCCAAATAAAGAGGGGGCGCTGGGCTAAGCCGGTGTAAGTCGCTCTGAGCAGCAGACCTCGATTCGGCCCCTGGCTAAGGCCTGAGAGGTGGTCTTAGGGGACGCTGAAGTTACACGGTGGCGGGAGGGGAAGGGTCTCCAAGCTCCTCTCCAATCACGCCGGCTGCTGAAGCTATTTGCATATATTATGCTAATAGGGACCTCCCGCTCCGCTCCCACCCGCGCTCCCGCCCTCTCGTGGGTCCAGCGGGCTGGGCGAAGGTGAATATATTATGCTAATAAGGAGGCTCCTGCGGGAGGGGGCGGTCTGTGCTCGAGGCGCGCGCACACTGTCTCACACACACACACACACGAGCATCCCGGGGTATTTAAGGCTCGCACACGCGAGGCTGCGGAGCTACTTCTGGGGCCTCGCGATTGCTGCTTGGGTCGTTCGGTTCTTCTCTTTCCTCTTATCCCTCTGCTACCTCTCGGGGACCGCGCTCTCGCCGCGTCCCTCTGCATTTCTTTTTCTTTTCGGCCTTGAACTGATCCAGGTGGGAGACAGGTCGGCCCGTGGAAAGCCCCAGAATAGGTAGAGATAGGCAGGCAGACGCAACAGGTCGGAGCAGGGAGACAGACCCGCGAACCCTGCGCCTCTGCGCGGGGGACCACTAAGGAGGTGTCGGATCTTGAGGGGTCAGAAGAGCTGCCCTGGTGGGTTTGATTTTTAGCTGTGACCCCCGGCGCCACACAACCCCCGGCCGGAGGGTCCTCTTTACTCTCTCAGCTGGAAGGGGAGAATCAGCAGAATGGTCCACAGCTGCTGATCCGGACTCCGAGCCAATCTCAGGGCCACCTCCGACCCGGGGCTCCGACTCCACCAACTAGTTGTGCAGCCGCAGGGACTGAACTTTGGGGGAATCGGCCTTTCCTCTCCTTCTAAGATTATTGGAGGAGGTAGAGGGTGGAAGGCTTAGCGGAGACTAGCGACCCCGCCACGATGTTGGTGAAGAAGCTTGCAGGAAAAGGAGGGGGACGAGAGCCTGGATCCGAAGATCCGCGCCCCTTGGGACAGCGTTGTGCTGGCACCATGGCCTCGTGCGCGGCTCTGGCGACCCTCTTGTCAGTGGTTGCGGTGGTGTTTTGCTTGTATCTTGGGGTGAAAACCAACGACCTCCAGGCGAGGATTGCCGCTCTTGAATCTGCCAAAGAAACCCCTTCCTTTCGTCCGCTGCCTGAAATCATGGACGAGCTCAAGGCTATGGTTCAGGAGAAAGTGGAGCGTCTCTTGGCTCAGGTGTGAAAGGTTGGGGGTAAATTGCACGTGGATACTGTTTGGCACAGGTGTGAGTCCTGCGTGCAGGGCTAATTTCAGCCCTTACTGGCTGCACAGTTGGTTTGACTGTGGGTACCGAGTATGGAGTGTGTCTTAAGAAGCTTGAATATTGATAGATATGTAGCTGAACCCTTCCCTCACTCTCCCGCAGTTCTTGCATGCTAAACATGTATGGAGGTCTAAAAGAGGGAAGGGTGGCCTGGGTAGTGGGAGTGTGGGGTCGAGCATTTCATTTCTTTTAGTTTTCTGGAGCCTCTTGTCTCTCAGTTCTACGGAGAATATTCGTTAGAGACATAAAATCTCCTATCGCCTTCCCAGGTAAAGGTTAGAAAGTGTTATTAATATACTAACGATAATCACTTTCAAGTGAAACAATTTTATACAGATTCAAAGTCATAAATTTCACCCTTCGAATCTTTTCATGTTCGAACACTTAAAAAGTTTTCTATTTGGCAAGGGCAGGTATTGAAGAAAGCCGAGCCATTAACGCTGAGAGTTGAAAGGAAACACATTATCTTCAAGGCTCGGTTCAACTCGTTAGGGTTTTTTTTTGTTTTTTTGTTTTTTTTTTTTTTGAGGAATTTACTTCCAATAGAGAGGCTGTTTAGCAGTTGCTATTCACAAGTGTGCTATTGGCCCACCCTATCTTCAGACCTGCGGTGTTCCACTGCCAGGTTTTGCACTGACTGCCTATGTTTGGGTCCGAGGAGAAGGTGGTGGAGACTCGAGAAAGATGTTAGCCAAACCCTGCAATCCTGCTACCACGTCAGTGGTCACTGTCTTATTTTAGGACTTGGATACGGTTACTTTTTGGTTAGTGTCCAAGTACGTATGTAAATATTCCTTATGCAAGCTATCGAATGCTGGGAAATCAGGCATGTAGCCAGAGAGTCCCTGAGTCCAGTTCTCGTCAGCGCTACTGACGATTGTGCTAATACCTCTGCTTTTCCCACAGAAATCCTATGAACACATGGCTAAAATACGGATCGCCAGAGAGGCACCTTCAGAGTGCAACTGCCCAGCAGGTAAAACAGACCTCGTTTGACAGTATTTCCTCCACAGCAGAACAAGCGCGCGCACACACACACACACACACACACACACACACACACACACACACACACGGTCTTGTGCTGTCAAGTCTACCTGTAATAATAGTAAAGAAAGAATGCAGGCCCAACCTGCTTTAATAAAACCAACATGTCTCAGTTCAAAAGAGGGCCACCCCCCTCCCACTATTATTTTGTGCAGGATACTAAGGTCTGCTATTGTAAAACGAGAAAGCTAGATATGACCAACATGGATAATATAGATAAGATGATATACAAAGACAGAGTTCTTAAGAGTCACAGATTGGAAGTCTTCCATGATATTATTAAATAATGTCAATTTTTTGTGTGCATATGTGTGTGAAAATGTCTGTTGAACTCTTAGATTCTGAATTCCCTGGTGTCTAATGCTACATCATGGCAGGTTTGTTGCCTGCCTTTGGTATATAGCTATACATGCAAGTCACCTATCCTTCCCCACTGGCTTGTATTCTGTCCTATCAAAGAGGCACTCTGTCCTGCCCCCACAGCAGAAGACAATGCTAAGAATATTCTCTATCTTGAACTCCCATTACAAACGATTGCACTCTCAATGGCCTTTCAGGATGGGTCCCTATGTTTTTACAGTATCTGTGTGCAGTTTTAGGGAACTATGTTAATGGCGGTACCTAAGAGGTTGGGGAAGAGAGGTATCAGTTAGTAGAACCCTACACCCCATCTAGCCGAGGTAATTGTAATTCCTTTCACAGATCTCTGAGACTCAGCATGTATCTGTAGATTTAGCAATTTAAAAGATCTTGGATGATGGTCATCAAACCCCATGAGTGTTAACGTTTTCTCAGATGAACGCTGTATTCATTTATGAACATTTAGTTTCTTTTATCAGGCATTTAAGTGACTTTCACATTTTGTATAATGTTCAAGAATATGATACTTAGTTATTTATGTAGATAGTTATTGCCTAGTTGCATTTGGTCAATGAGAGATCACAGAGTGTAGGATAGAGAGGTCTTATAAGATTATATCATGTATTGGTATTAGTAATTCCAGTTTATGAAGTACAGTGTATGAAACTGTCTAACATAGTTCTCCCTGTTAAGAGGTACATGACTGTATATGAAAAGGCTAGTTCCTTTATCTCCTTGATATCCTGAATTAGTTTTTGACATGGTCAACACAGTTGCCATCAGTTTAAAATATGAACACTGGGTTGTATAACATATACATTAAAACAACTTTTTTACAAATTACATTTAGTGTGTGTGTGTGTGTGTGTGTGCGCACGCGTGTGAGCATGTGTGTCCTCATGTGTATGGAAGTCAGAGGAAAGCTTGCAGGAGTTAGCTTTGTAATTCCACCAAGTGGATCCCAGGGATCAAAGCCAGGCCATCAGGCTTGGTGACAAGTGCCTTTACCCCCTGAGCCACCTCACTGGTCCTACGGCACAGCAATTATATGTCCAATTACACTGTTCACCATACTGGGACTATTTTTTTTTCCAAATAAACGCTTTCAGTTAGGAAAACACTGTTAGAATGATGGTGAAAACCTCTATTTCAGCTATGCCGAAGGTTGAGGTAGGAGGATTGCAAGTTCAGTGCCTACCTGGGCTATAACTTAAATATATTCTCAAAATCAAAAGCCTACAAAAAAAAGTTTGGATACCTGATATAGCTGAGATTTAGAACACTAGCCTAGCATTTGTGAGACCCTAGGCCTAACCCCCCCCCCCGCCAGTACACAGGGGAAATGCATATATGTTATATATAGTAATAATAAGTATATAATATGTAAATATTTGTAAATTTATATTATATGTGAAAAATATATATGAATATTTGAACATTGAGGTTACCTGTTATGTTAGAAGAAGGTCGAGAAGGAGCTAGCATTTGAACATGTAGCTTTTGTTCTTAGTTGTTTTGAGTTGGTGCAGACACAGAAGTCAGATATCTAAGGAAGCCACATTTCCAGCGGAGGATTAAACACAACCACCTCATCACTGCTTGGGATTTAACTTCTAAGACACCTGGTACTGAAAGTCACTGAGCACACCCCTTAGAGTCCAGACCTTTTGGTACGCAATGCTTCTGTTAGCTCTGTGTAAAGCAGTTAGTGTTTAATTCGCTGAATTCTTTCTTAAGTTTGGTACAGTGCTGAGAAGTGATGTCTACAGCCCGCATTCTATTTTCCGGGAAGACGTCACCGCTCGTGATGTCTAATGCAACCTAATTATCATTGGATCTGGGAGGAAGCTACCGCATTTAGAGTTGGACTTATGTTATCTTGGAAGACTACACTGGAGCGTTTTTCACTATAACACGAGAATTTAAATGGGATTTCCTAGGCTTCCCCTCCTACCCCCACAGCCTGGGTTGGCTCTCTGGAACAGCTGCTTTACCTCCTCATCACCACTAGAGCCCCGCATCACATCAGTTTTTCCCTGGCTTCTGGAGCAGAAACACTTGGAAGGTGTGTGTACCTTCTAGTGCACAGAACCAGATCATCACTGTTCTGGAAGCACGCCCTTCTGCTTGGATGATCATCAGGCATTCTAAAAATAAAGACGCTACATCCTGGAGGGAACGATTGTGAAGTATGGTCAGTGAGATGTTGTCTTAGGGGATGAGCGGGCCAGCCAAGGACTAGAAGGGGGGGACACAGCGCTTCCCGCCTGGGGTGGCCCTAGCTGTGGGTCACTGGCTGAGAGTAGTCACAATGACAGTGGTTGGCAGGACAGGGCTAGACAAGTCTGTGACCTCAGCTCAGTTCCTGTGGACAGATGCCCACCCCTTGAAGTTGACACTCTTGTTGACAGTCTCAGTAACAGAGCCAAAGGCTGGCCGCGAAAAAGCAAGGCTGTGTTGTTTGTATTCACTCCAAGGGCTCTTGCTAGGCCACGGTTTGTGCCGGGTTTCTCCAGGTGTGGGCTGTAGGGAAGTCATAACAGTTGAAGCCGGTTGGTTTGCTTTTCTCACAGGAAGGGGGTATTGGGAGAACGATGAGCTGTTTATAGAATAGCTTTTAAATATAAGAGATGTACTCTGATTTTCATAGCAACTTGGAGAGTCAACTGCAAGCAATCTGCTTTTATAGATGAGGAAGCTGGGGAAAATAGTTAATATACTAAAGCCAAGGTGAGGGTTCATGTGTGTATCTGAGGGAACGGGAAGTCCAAGATCTAATGAGGCGTCGAGAATGAACTTTCAGAGCAGAATATCTCCGGACTGGAATTCTGGATCTGCTACTGATAATGTGTGACCTTGACCTTGGTTGAATTAAAGAACCAAATATGTTCCACTTTCTCATCTGAAAATAGCACACACACACATACAAGTACACACACATTTGCACACACACACATGCACACACACACGCGTGCACACACAAAAGCCTTTCTCGTAGGAAGATATTTGTAAACAATCTGATGTTTTAGTGGGTGTGTGTTGTTACCTTTTTGCCTCAGTGCTCTACAAACACTTCACCAATAAGCTACACTGCTGAGCCAGACCCTTACGCCTGTTATTTTCCTTGCTATCTAATTCTAGTGCACAGAGTTACATGATATAGGTAGGAAAGAATCTTTGAGATGCTTGCTCGGAGCCCAGTGTCTAACAACAAGCTTTGAACTAGAACTATGGTTAATTGTGCAGATATGTATGTAGATCATCCACACAGATAATCATACTTGAGTTTCTCTTGTTGCTGTACCAGTAACATTTGGTTCTTTACAGATATTTACATTCATCTCTTAAATTATTTTTATCAACACTACAGGGAGAATTTGGGCATTTTAGGTGAAGTGGGGGCTGAAGTCCACAGGACCAGGGCTTACTTGAGCATGGGATAGTCAAAAGTATCTTTGAAGTTTCGGTATCAGATATTTATAGATAGCTTACCTATCTGACTCATTTTCAGACTTATTTTTAGCAGCTTTACAGAGGTATCATTTATATTTCACCCATTTTAAGGTCTGCGATAAATTTATATTTGGGTCCCCATCCACTGCAGTCTAGTTTTATCATTTTGTCTCCTGACAGCTCACATTTACTTCACTCGTGAACTCGAGAGAAGCTTTATTTTAGAAAGGTTTTGCTTTGGAGAAACTCCAGGATAATGAACCAAAAAAAATTTTCTCCATCAAAGCTCTGGTTAGCAGAGCAGTTGACTTAGCTGTAGTGGGGCCTGGAAGATCGGGCTGGCATTTGGGTCTTGGCCTCTGTAAAACTTGACCTTAAGATGAGAGAATCAGTTGGCTCATTCTGTGGATAGAATTTTGTCTTGTTCGCTCTTGGTGACTTACATAAAAGTATGTGTAAGTCAGGGATGTTTGTGGAAGGGCTTCTATGGATAAGCTGATAGAGAATGGGGGTGGGCAGACAGCCAAACAGAAGAGGTTGAGACCAGTAGATATTCTCTGAGGTCCCTGAATTCCTTCCACCTCTACAGAAATGGTTATATATGAAGCAGGAGTATGTGTAAACAAATTGAGGAACCTCCTGTTCTTAACTGTAAGTGAGACAGACACAGGTGTCTGGCTGAAGGACATCATTTCTCGTGGTTTCAGAAGAATCCTTAGATTACCTTTCTTAGATAAAGTATAGAAAACTATTTCTTACTAATATTTCATCTAGGCTATACCCCAACCCTTTTTAAAAAAGAGTCTGTACAACAAAGGGAGTACGTTAAGGAAGAGTCATAATGCATAGCTCTTAGTCATATAAAGGAGCAGCAGAAGCAGTTTGTAGACCATGAATGCAAATGCTTAAATATTATTTAATGAGAATGACAGACATTCTTCTCTTGTAAGGCGAAACAACACAGCGAGACATGCCAGTGCCTCCAGGCATTCATGTTAAATTGTTTTGGGTCTAATGAGAACAACAGTTTGGGTGTGGCACTTTCAGTTGGTCTTGTAGTGACAGCTGGCAAAATGCCCCAGCCAAAGGACCAAGGACAAATTGCCTCTTGAAGTG